TCGCAACCCGCATTTTAAGTGTATTGCACATTGAGCCGGCTTTTAGGCCTGGCTCCAGACAGCTGCAGGGAAATCAGATAAGACCGCCTGAAAGCGACTATACGGGCGTTTTTCAGGCACCGTTGCGTCTTCGCCCGGCTATTTTGGTACATGATCCAGATCGGCAAAAAGACGACAAGAACGACGACGCATTGCACACGGCTCCTCCGCGGCTACCGACCGTGAGGCAGGCCGGACGACGAGGTGGCGGCAAATGGTTGGTTGGTCTGGCAGAAGCGCGAGAAGTTGTTAACACGACTCTGGTTGTGGGTTCTTCTCTACGGGCCGCCATGTTGGGCAGCAATTCACTCGCAGAACCGAATGCCAGCATCCACGAGGCATCTTCTTGAGGCTGGTGGGAATCCGAATCGCGGACTGCCTCTCCGGCCAAGATTATGCCATGCTAGACCAGGATCGGAAGTTCAGAAGATACACTGAACTGCTCAAATTTTCGGCCCAATTTATGTATCTGAATCATCCTCCCGAGGCTGTCGGCCAAGTCTTCAGTCAAAGCAGCCTTAAAAGAAGGTATGAAGACCAAAATGGTGTGGTCTTTTTTGTGTGGTCGCAGTTTCCTTTCGTTGACCTTGTTTTCGCAACTTGGTCCTATTGCTAGGAAGACTTAGAGGAACGCACTTAGTCCGGAGTCCATTGTCTGCATGATCGTTTCCAAAGTTGAACCGTGGACGTGATACCTTCTCAAACGTTTCGCCGGCATCATAGTCGGCATTGTCAGTGAGTATCACCATTCTTAGCACCATACAGCAACTCGTCAACTTGTCTCTTTGACGAGTTGCTGTATGGTGCTAAGAATGGTGATACTCACTGACAATGCCGACTATGATGCCGGCGAAACGTTTGGGAATGTATCACGTCCACGGTTCAACTTTAGAAATGATCGTGCAGACAATGGACTCCAGACTAGGTGCGTTCCTCTAAGAGCTTTAATAGAGTCTATTTATGTCAAAACAAGTAGCAAGTAGCTTCGTCTATTGCAACGACAAATGCATATTTGATGTTGACAAACCTTTCAGTCCGTTTGACAAAGCGGTCGGAATAGAGTTGTAAATTGGCCACACCCAATACCGAAGAAAGGTTGCCTCGGACACGTGACTGTTGGCTTGTGCTAAAGCAACCTCGGCTAACCGTTCTGCGACTCCGAGCCATCCGTGATGAGCTTTTGCCCGTCATGCGACAGACATCATCGGTGCTATAAACTAATTGTCCACGCATAATCCCCAAAAAACACAAAACTAAGAAAGGTGTTTCAGCGATTAGTCGTAAATACTGTTTTGTGGCACTGACAATGTCCATCACATGACGGACGAAGGATGGACACGGATTCAGTGGGTTCGCAGAACCTTGAGCAGAAGACTCCTTCACACAGTCATGCGCCCATGGCAACCCTCCTTCGGTATTCGGTGAAGCCAATCCACCTTTTCAACCAAAATTAAAGCTATGCCAGCATCCATCTATTATGGCACTCTTAGAAACCCAGTTTCATTTCACCAACAAACGTTTGCTTGATAAACAATCTCAGCATAAAATTGTGCTATACGAGAGACCTGACTCGCCATAGCTGTCGCATTCGTCCTATGATTTACTGTTACTTGTGGTTGTGTAGTCGATACTTATGACCCCGGCTCGAATCCCATGGTGGATGCTGATGAGACGAATTCAGGCGACGTCGAAACTTCATTCTATCCTAGAGAAGAATACCTTGGAGGCGGCAAAGTTAGATGAAATTAAACGGAAACACATGACCTCCTCATCTGAGTGTAGAAAAAGCTCATTTATCAGTCCTTAAATCACATTAAACGACCTAGACTGGCAAAGCTCTTATTCAACCAATACTCATGGTCTCTTAACCCTTATTATAGCCAGAACAAAGGCTATAGTAAATCTGGGTCGCTTAAGGTGAGATTGACAGTTTAGGATTATTTTTGCATGCGATCAGTTTCTGAACAACCATTTACGTAAGACTCCCCTTGGAGTGAAATATGTCTAAATTCATGAAAGTCGACCGACTGTTGCCTTCTATTTCCATTGTAAATTAAAGTTTTTCACTAAAATTAAGAAATCGTTCAATTTTTCCTTTCCATACGATTAGAGCACGAAGTAGACAAAAAAAAATTGGTCAAGAAGATGCCTTAATTCGTCACTTTGACGAGCGGCAACTCGCGCTGACGATGCCGACTACATGCCAGCAAAATGTTTGGGAATGTACCAGTTCATCGGTCCAATGCTGAAAGAAGGACGCAGAAGTAGATATTTTCCACAAGATCTGTCTTTCGCACCGACACACTTGCGTAAATGAGGCCAAACCATCACCAAATGAAATTCAATCGCATCATGAAGCCCATTCACCTGATTGTAGGAAAATTCATTTTCACTCCTTCATACGCCTTAAGCGAACTATGCTAATTATATTGAAGATGTGAAGAGCAAGATGTTGTGGCCTCGGGTATGGTCGCAGTCTCCTTTCGACTTATAGAAGTGGGTTGACCTCGTTGTC